GTGGCTATCGAAATACCAGGTACAAGCCATACAGTAGCCATCCAAATACCTGGTATATGCCATACAGTGGCCATCCAAATAGCAGGTACATGCCATACAGTGGCCATCCAAATACCAGGTACATGCCATACAGTGGCCATCGAAATACCAGGTACAAGCCATACAGTAGCCATCCAAATACCTGGTATATGCCATACAGTGGCCATCCAAATAGCAGGTACATGCCATACAGTGGCCATCCAAATACCAGGTACATGCCATACAGTGGCCATCCAAATACCAGGTACAAGCTATACAGTTGCCATCCAAATACCAGGTACATGCTATACAGTGGCCATCCAAATACCAGGTACATGCTATACAGTTGCCATCCAAATACCAGGTACAAGCCATACAGTGGCCATCCAAATACCAGGTACATGCCATACAGTGGCCATCCAAATACCAGCCATACAGTGGCCATCCAAATACCAGATACATTCCATACAGTGGCCGCCCAAATACCAGGTACATGCCATACAGTGGCCATCAAAATACCAGGTACATGCCATACAGTGGCCATCGAAATACCAGGTACATGCCATACAGTGGCCATCCAAATACCAGGTACATGCCATACAGTGGCCATCCAAATACCAGGTACAAGCTATACAGTTGCCATCCAAATACCAGGTACATGCTATACAGTGGCCATCCAAATACCAGGTACAAGCCATACAGTGGCCATCCAAATACCAGCTATACAGTGGCCATCCAAATACCAGGTACATGCTATACAGTGGCCATCCAAATACCAGGTACTTGCCATACAGTATACAGTGGCCATCCAAATACCAGGTACTTGCCATACAGTATACAGTGGCCAACCAAATACCACGTACATGCCATATAGTGGCCATCCAAATACCAGGTACATGCTATACAGTGGCCATCCAAATACCAGGTACAAGCCATACAGTGGCCATCCAAATACCAGCTATACAGTGGCCATCCAAATAGCAGGTACATGATATACAGTGGCCATCCAAATACCAGGTACTTGCCATACAGTATACAGTGGCCATCCAAATACCAGGTACTTGCCATACAGTATACAGTGGCCATCCAAATACCAGGTACATGCCATACAGTGGCCATTCAAATACCAGGTACAAGCCATACAGTGGCCATCCAAATACCAGGTACAAGTCATACAGTGGCCATCCAAATACCAGGTACAAGCCATACAGTGGCCATCCAAATACCAGGTGCAAGCCATACAGTGGCCATCCAAATACCAGCCATACAGTGGCCATCCAAATACCAGGTACAAGCCATACAGTGGCCATCCAAATACCAGGTACATGCCATACAGTGGCCATCCAAATACCAGGTACATGCCATACAGTGGCCATCCAAATACCAGCCATACAGTGGCCATCCAAATACCAGGTACATGCCATACAGTGGCCATCCAAATACCAGCCATACAGTGGCCATCCAAACACCAGGTACAAGCTATACAGTGGCCATCCAAATACCAGGTACATGCCATACAGTGGCCATCCAAATTCCAGGTACAAGCTATACAGTGGTCATCAAAATACCAGCCATACAGTGGCCATCCAAATACCAGCCATACAGTGGCCATCCAAATACCAGGTACATGCCATACAGTGGCCATCCAAATACCAGCCATACAGTGGCCATCCAAACACCAGGTACATGCCATACAGTGGCCATCCAAATACCAGCCATACAGTGGCCATCCAAATACCAGGTACATGCCATACAGTGGCCATCCAAATTCCAGGTACAAGCTATACAGTGGTCATCAAAATACCAGCCATACAGTGGCCATCCAAATACCAGCCATACAGTGGCCATCCAAATACCAGGTACATGCCATACAGTGGCCATCCAAATACCAGCCATACAGTGGCCATCCAAACACCAGGTACATGACATACAGTGGCCATCCAAATACCAGGTACATGCCATACAGTGGCCATCCTAATACCAGGTACAAGCTATACAGTTGCCATCCAAATACCAGGTACATGCTATACAGTGGCCATCCAAATACCAGGTACAAGCCATACAGTGGCCATCCAAATACCAGGTACATGCCATACAGTGGCCATCCAAATACCAGGTACATGCCATACAGTGGCCATCCAAATACCAGGTACAAGCCATACAGTAGCCATTCAAATACCAGCCATACAGTGGCCATCCAAATACCAGGTACATGCCATATAGAATACAGTGGCCATCCAAATACCAGGTACATGCCATACAGTGGCCATCCAAATACCAGGTACATGCCATACAGTGGCCATCCAAATACCAGGTACAAGCTATACAGTGGCCATCCAAATACCAGGTACAATCCATACAGTGGCCATCCAAATACCAGGTACATGCCATACAGTGGCCATCCAAATACCAGGTACAAGCCATATTGTAGCCATCCAAATACCGGGTACATGCCATACTGTGGCCATCCAAATACCAGGTACAAGCCATACAGTGGCCATCCAAATACCAGCCGTACAGTGGCCATCCAAATACCAGGTGCAAGCCATACAGTGGCCATCCAAATACCAGCCATACCGTGGCCATCCAAATACCAGGTACAAGCTGTACAGTGGCCATCCAAATACCAGGTACAAGCCATATTGTAGCCATCCAAATACCAGGTACATGCCATACTGTGGCCATCCAAATACCAGGTACAAGCCATACAGTGGCCATCCAAATACCAGCCGTACAGTGGCCATCCAAATACCAGGTACATGCCATACAGTGGCCATCCAAATACCAGCCATACAGTGGCCATCCAAATACCAGGTACATGACATACAGTGGCCATCCAGATACCAGGTACATGCCATACAGTGGCCATCCAAATACCAGGTACATGCCATACAGTGGCCATCCAAATACCAGGTACATGCCATACAGTGGCCATCCAAATTCCAGGTACAAGCTATACAGTGGCCATCCAAATACCAGCCATACAGTGGCCATCAAAATACCAGGTACATGCCATACAGTGGCCATCCAAATACCAGGTACATGCCATACAGTGGCCATCTAAATACCAGGTACAAGCTATACAGTGGCCATCCAATTACCAGGTACAAGCCATACAGTGGCCATCCAAATACCAGGTACTTGCCATACAGTATACAGTGGCCATCCAAATACCAGGTACATGCCATACAGTGGCCATCCAAATACCAGGTACATGCTATACAGTGGCCATCCAAATACCAGCCATACAGTGGCCATCCAAATACCAGGTACAAGTCATACAGTGGCCATCTAAATACCAGGTACAAGCCATACAGTGGCCATCCAAATACCAGGTGCAAGCCATACAGTGGCCATCCAAATACCAGCCATACCGTGGCCATCCAAATACCAGGTACAAGCTATACAGTGGCCATCCAAATACCAGGTACATGCCATACAGAATACAGTGGCCATCCAAATACCAGGTACATGCCATACAGTGGCCATCCAAATACCAGGTACAAGCTATACAGTGGCCATCCAAATACCAGGTACAATCCATACAGTGGCCATCCAAATACCAGGTACATGCCATAGAGTGGCCATCCAAATACCAGGTACATGCCATACTGTGGCCATCCAAATACCAGGTACATGCCATACAGTGGCCATCCAAATACCAGGTACATGCCATACAGTGGCCATCCAAATACCAGGTACAAGCCATACAGTGGCCATCCAAATACCAGGTACATGCCATACAGTGGCCATCCAAATACCAGGTACATGCCATACAGTGGCCATCCAAATACCAGGTACAAGCCATATTGTAGCCATCCAAATACCAGGTACATGCCATACAGTGGCCATCCAAATACCAGGTACAAGCCATACAGTGGCCATCCAAATACCAGGTACATGCCATACAGTGGCCATCCAAATACCAGCCATACAGTGGCCATCCAAATACCAGTTACACCAATGTAGAATTCTAACATTCGATAAACTGTCAGCTCCCTCCTGATATTCTACTTGATCGCTCTAGAACTAGAAAGGAATACTCACCAACCTACATTGTTCGTGTTCAGGAAACTCTTTGCCCCCCCCCCCTCCTAACGAAATACAATACATATAAATGAATACTTTGAGTCTGATCAGTCAGTGTTGTCTCCACCCCCCCCCCCCTCCCCCGTAAAAGAGAGAGAATCAAATTTTGTTATGTCAAATGTATTTGTACAAAGGGGAGTAAGACAATAGAAGTGGTAAAATACATGCTGAGATTCTAGTATGAGATGCACTACGGCAGTGTATACAGTACACAAGTTAAATTTGACAGCTAGATAGCTTTACGGGTTTACTTAACTGTTTTCTACGTCGTGTGACACCAACATTAAAACTGACGGCTCAGTGACAGGCTAATTTTGACCATGCTAAAAAATTATAAAATGTTTTCACAGAAAAAAGAACCACCTTTCTGAATATGCTTATAAAAAAGTTATACGATAATAGAATCAGATGGTAATTTTCAAATTTCTTAGTTCTTTTTAACATTTAAAATATTTAGTCTATTATGCATTTTTTGTTTGTTTAGTAACCCATTAAAGGCTATTCAATTTTGCACATTTTACAGGTATTTGTAAAGAAATACGTTGAACGGTCCAAAAAGGCCCGCGAGTTAAATGAGAGAGGGGCCAAAATCCGTTACTCGACTGCCATTGAAAAAAATCACGGTGATAGTTTTGGTAACAGATAAATTGTTTAATATCAACAACTATAAAAATTACACATAATTAGAGGGCTTAAAAATCTACTTAATGGTACCAAGCTTATTACTATACGAGCCCTTTTTATTATCGAAACTGAAGTGAAAAGCTGCTATATTTGGGCGACGCGGGCAATAACGGCGTTATTTTACAGCAGTACGACATACCTACTTTTAAATATAAGTCTACGCAGCTAATATACACAGCACAGGTCGACACAGTTAAGACAGACAGCAATTGAGAGGTTTGCAAATGTTTAATCAGCATACATAATTATTAATTATTTGGACATCCAATGTTGAATACATTCAAAAGCTGCATCCCTCAGTTTTAAAAATTGCAACAAGGCCAAAGCAACAGCATTAACTAGTGGTTTGACCATTTCTACTTCCATTAACCCTGCCAGGTACAGTATTTGTTATGGTAGGATGAGCCAATATATGGAGAATCATGAGGCAACAGTACAACATGGGGATCATTCAATTAAAAATTTGTAAAATAAATATTGCTCAAGCATTCAAAACTCGTGTGTATCTTTCAGTCCATCACTAGCCCAACACCTGTGTATCTTTCAGTCCATCACTAGCCCAACACCTGTGTATCTTTCAGTCCATCACTAGCCCTACTCGTGTGTATCTTTCAGTCCATCACTAGCCCAACAGCTGTGGGCCAGCCTCTACCTCCTGCTGGTGCCACCAAATCCTGAAGCTGTTCTTGTACCAGACGAGGATGGTGCTCCTCCAGAAAATGATGTGGAACCACCGGACGAGTAGAAGCCACCTCTTGGTGCGGCCCATCCACTGTTATAGCCTGGGTTATTTCCCCTGTTCCCCAAGAAGTAGCCCAGCAGTCCACCTGTGGCGGCCCCTGTCCAGAACCCACCACCAGATGGCTCTGTGCTGTAGCCAGGCTTGGGGTAGGAGGCTCCAGAATTGTAGCCAGGGTAAGCTGTACTGCTGTAAGGTGGGGGTGCTGCAGAATCTGAAGGGTAAAGTACTCATTAGTTCTTGGCACTCAGACAAAGGGATACACAACAGACACACGACCAAAGACATGTACCCAGACACACAACATGTAGCCAGACACACAACATGTAGCCAGACACACAACATGTACCCAGACACACAACATGTACCCAGACACACAACATGTAGCCAGACACACAACATGTACCCAGACACACGACATGTAGCCAGACACACGACATGTACCCAGACACACGACATGTAGCCAGACACACGACATGTAGCCAGACACACGACATGTACCCAGACACACGACATGTACCCAGACACACAACATGTAGCCAGACACACGACATGTAGCCAGACACACGACATGTAGCCAGACACACGACATGTAGCCAGACACACGACATGTAGCCAGACACAAAACATGTAGCCAGACACACAACATGTAGCCAGACACACAACATGTACCCAGACACACAACATGTACCCAGACACACGACATGTAGCCAGACACACGACATGTAGCCAGACACACAACATGTAGCAAGACACACAACATGTAGCCAGACACACAACATGTAGCCAGACACACAACATGTAGCCAGACACACAACATGTACCCAGACACACGACATGTACCCAGACACACAACATGTAGCCAGACACACAACATGTAGCCAGACACACGACATGTACCCAGACACACGACATGTAGCCAGACACACGACATGTACCCAGACACACAACATGTAGCCAGACACACAACATGTAGCCAGACACACACCATGTAGCCAGACACACAACATGTAGCCAGACACACAACATGTAGCCAGACACACAACATGTAGCCAGAGACACAACATGTACCCAGACACACGACATGTAGCCAGACACACGACATGTACCCAGACACACAACATGTACCCAGACACACAACATGTAGCCAGACACACAACATGTAGCCATACACATGACTAAGACATGTAGCCAGACACACAACATGTACCCAGACACACAACATGTACCCAGACACACAACATGTAGCCAGACACACAACATGTACCCAGACACACAACATGTACCCAGACACACAACATGTAGCCAGACACACAACATGTAGCCAGACACACAACATGTACCCAGACACACAACATGTAGCCAGACACACAACATGTACCCAGACACACAACATGTACCCAGACAAACAACATGTACCCAGACACACAACATGTACCCAGACACACAACATGTAGCCAGACACACAACATGTAGCCAGACACACAACATGTAGCCATACACATGACTAAGACATGTAGCCAGACACACAACATGTACCCAGACACACAACATGTAGCCAGACACACAACATGTACCCAGACACACAACATGTACCCAGACACACAACATGTACCCAGACACACAACATGTACCCAGACACACAACATGTAGCCAGACACACAACATGTAGCCAGACACACAACATGTACCCAGACACACAACATGTACCCAGACACACGACATGTAGCCAGACACACGACCACAACATGTAGCCAGACACACGACATGTAGCCAGACACACAACATGTAGCCAGACACACGACATGTAGCCAGACACACGACCACAACATGTACCCAGACACACAACATGTAGCCAGACACACAACATGTAGCCAGACACACGACCAAGACATGTACCCAGACACACGACATGTAGCCAGACACACGACCACAACATGTAGCCAGACACACGACATGTAGCCAGACACACAACATGTAGCCAGACACACGACATGTAGCCAGACACACGACCACAACATGTAGCCAGACACACGACATGTAGCCAGACACACAACATGTAGCCAGACACACGACATGTAGCCAGACACACGACCACAACATGTACCCAGACACACAACATGTAGCCAGACACACAACATGTACCCAGACACATGACCAAGACATGTAGCCAGACACATGACCACAACATGTACCCAGACACATGACCAAGACATGTAGCCAGACACACAACATGTAGCCAGACACACAACATGTAGCCAGACACATGACCACAACATGTACCCAGACACATGACCAAGACATGTAGCCAGACACACAACATGTAGCCAGACACACGACCACAACATGTACCCAGACACATGACCAAGACATGTAGCCAGACACACAACATGTACCCAGACACATGACCAAGACATGTAGCCAGACACACAACATGTAGCCAGACACACAACATGTAGCCAGACACACAACATGTAGCCAGACACACGACATGTAGCCAGACACACAACATGTACCCAGACACACAACATGTACCCAGACACACAACATGTAGCCAGACACACAACATGTACCCAGACACACGACATGTAGCCAGACACACGACCACAACATGTACCCAGACACATGACCAAGACATGTAGCCAGACACATGACCACAACATGTACCCAGACACATGACCAAGACATGTAGCCAGACACACAACATGTAGCCAGACACACGACCACAACATGTACCCAGACACATGACCAAGACATGTAGCCAGACACATGACCACAACATGTACCCAGACACATGACCAAGACATGTACCCAGACACATGACTGCAGTACTGAGGGTGGAAAAACAACTGACCTTGACCTGGCATATATTCTGGTCTAAAGCCATAGGGTGGGGGCTGTTGTGGTGGCAGCTCAGGCTGAACACTAGGCACTAGACAAAGCTTGTAGATGACATACATCAGTACAAGTATCAGGCCAAATACAAAGAGGCCATTCGGCCCCCCTTCAGACTTGTACTGGTAGCTGGAGAAACAATTGAAACCATCAGGGGGCATTCAAAATATAGAAGGTAGATGGTGGGGTGGAGAGCTTTGACTACTGGTAGATGGTGAGGTGGAGAGCTTTGACTACTGGTAGATGGTGGGGTGGAGAGCTTTGACTACTGGTAGATGGTGGGATGGAGGGCTTTGACTACTGGTAGATGGTGGGATGGAGAGCTTTGACTACTGGTAGATGGTGGGGTGGAGAGCTTTGACTACTGGTAGATGGTGGGATGGAGGGCTTTGACTACTGGTAGATGGTGGGATGGAGAGCTTTGACTACTGGTAGATGGTGGGGTGGAGAGCTTTGACTACTGGTAGATGGTGGGATGGAGGGCTTTGACTACTGGTAGATGGTGGGATGGAGAGCTTTGACTACTGGTAGATGGTGGGGTGGAGAGCTTTGACTACTGGTAGATGGTGGGGTGGAGAGCTTTGACTACTGGTAGCTGTAGAAACAATTGAAACCATCAGAGGGCATTCAAAATATAGCAGGAGTCATCTCCCCTAAACTTTCTAAAATATACTTTTTTAAGACTACGGCGGATGGCAACTCAGGATATAGACATGATTTTTATTCCTGTTTTTTTACTTAATCTTTATAAAATAGAATAGAATAGAATATGGTAGAAAAAAGAATTGCCCATCAAGTGAACAGCAAACAATGAGTGTATAATAGTGCGGAATATTCGTACTTTATAATTTCATATGCATTTTTTGAGAAATTGGAAATAGCACAAAGTACTTCTTCCGGTCCATGGAAATTACTCAAAATGAGTCAGATGGCAGAGAATTAGATCTTTGACTTCTATGTAAAATTCTGTCTATCAATCAAGTTACCGGAAATCACTGAAAAGTTGATACAGAACGACGCATTTGATATAATACTTAAATATGAAAGTTCATCAACATAGCTGTAACATTACTCAAGTAATCGAGTTCACAGACACACATATATATACAAAAGTGCAAAACAACGTCTTTCCGACTTAGGGAGGTGTAAAACATCAAGATTTGTTAAAAATCTTGATTTTTTTATTTTTGCACAATACTTCCTCTATACTTTGTATATGAGAAAGTAAAAACTTGCTAAGAAAAAATTCTCAGCAAATTTGACTTACTTGTAGCTGTAGGATTTAAACTGTCTGCCTTCCTCAGTCAGCTCAATTGTAAATTCCAGCTAGAGAAAAAGTCAAACAGGCATCAATAAGCTATACTATGGTTTGTCCACCCATGCAGAAATAAATATCAATAAGCTATACTATGGTTTGTCCACCTATACAGCAATGAATATCAATAAGCTATACTATGGTTTGTCCACCTATACAGCAATAAATATCAAAAAACTATACTATGGTTTGTCCACCCATCCAGCTATAAATATCAATAAGCTATACTATGGTTTGTCCACCTATACAGCAATGAATATCAATAAGCTATACTTTGGTTTGCCCACCCATATATTAATATTAAACAGGAAAAGGGTCAAACTGCTTTCATGCCACTTTTATTTTTTAAACACTTCCAGATCAGGTTTCAATCTCAGCTTTCAATAAAAGAAGGAAACAAATGATGTCACATCAATGTTCTCAATGAAAGAAGCACAGAAACAAATGATGTCACATCAATGTTCAATAGCTAACAGTTTGTGAAGAGAAATGTAAAGGGGAACAGATTCTGTACCATTAACAAATATGAAAGTCAGAAAGTGGGAGAAGGGACAAAAAGATTTATGAGCCTTCAGAAAAAGGCTTTCTAGATGATCTAAAAACTGATGGTTGGGGTGGCTGTCCAACTCAGTGGTTGGGGTGGGTGGTTGGGGTGGGTGGTTGGGGTGGCTGTCCAACTCAGTGGTTGGGGTGGCTGTCCAACTCAGTGGTTGGGGTGGCTGTCCAACTCAGTGGTTGGGGTGGCTGTCCAACTCAGTGGTTGGGGTGGCTGTCCAACTCAGTGGTTGGGGTGGGTGGTTGGGGTGGGTGGTTGGGGTGGCTGTCCAACTCAGTGGTTGGGGTGGCTGTCCAACTCAGTGGTTGGGGTGGCTGTCCAACTCAGTGGTTGGGGTGGGTGGTTGGGGTGGGTGGTTGGGGTGGGTGTCCAACTGAGTGGTTGGGGTGGCTGTCCAACTCAGTGGTTGGGGTGGGTGGCTGGGGTGGGTGGTTGGGGTGGCTGTCCAACTCAGTGGTTGGGGTGGCTGTCCAACTCAGTGGTTGGGGTGGCTGTCCAACTCAGTGGTTGGGGTGGCTGTCCAACTCAGTGGTTGGGGTGGCTGTCCAACTCAGTGGTTGGGGTGGCTGTCCAACTCAGTGGTTGGGGTGGGTGTCCAACTCAGTGGTTGGGGTGGGTGGTTGGGGTGGGTGGTTGGGGTGGCTGTCCAACTCAGTGGTTGGGGTGGCTGTCCAACTCAGTGGTTGGGGTGGGTGTCCAACTCAGGAGTTGGGGTGGGTGGTTGGGGTGGGTGTCCAACTCAGTGGTTGGGGTGGGTGGCTGGGGTGGGTGGTTGGGGTGGGTGGTTGGGGTGGGTGGTTGGGGTGGGTGGTTGGGGTGGGTGGTTGGGGTGGCTGTCCAACTCAGTGGTTGGGGTGGCTGTCCAACTCAGTGGTTGGGGTGGCTGTCCAACTCAGTGGTTGGGGTGGGTGGTTGGGGTGGGTGGTTGGGGTGGGTGGTTGGGGTGGCTGTCCAACTCAGTGGTTGGGGTGGGTAGTTGGGGTGGGTGGTTGGGGTGGGTGGTTGGGGTGGGTGGTTGGGGTGGGTGGTTGGGGTGGCTGTCCAACTCAGTGGTTGGGGTGGCTGTCCAACTCAGTGGTTGGGGTGGGTGGTTGGGGTGGCTGTCCAACTCAGTGGTTGGGGTGGGTGGTTGGGGTGGGTGGTTGGGGTGGCTGTCCAACTCAGTGGTTGGGGTGGGTAGTTGGGGTGGGTAGTTGGGGTGGCTGTCCAACTCAGTGGTTGGGGTGGCTGTCCAACTCAGTGGTTGGGGTGGCTGTCCAACTCAGTGGTTGGGGTGGGTGGTTGGGGTGGGTGGTTGGGGTGGCTGTCCAACTCAGTGGTTGGGGTGGCTGTCCAACTCAGTGGTTGGGGTGGCTGTCCAACTCAGTGGTTGGGGTGGGTGTCCAACTCAGGAGTTGGGGTGGGTGGTTGGGGTGGGTGTCCAACTCAGTGGTTGGGGTGGGTGGTTGGGGTGGCTGTCCAACTCAGTGGTTGGGGTGGCTGTCCAACTCAGTGGTTGGGGTGGGTGGTTGGGGTGGGTGGTTGGGGTGGCTGTCCAACTCAGTGGTTGGGGTGGATGTCCAACTCAGTGGTTGGGGTGGATGTCCAACAGTGGTTGGGGTGGGTGGTTGGGGTGGCTGTCCAACTCAGTGGTTGGGGTGGATGTCCAACTCAGTGGTTGGGGTGGGTGGTTGGGGTGGCTGTCCAACTCAGTGGTTGGGGTGGGTTGTTGGGGTGGCTGTCCAACTCAGTGGTTGGGGTGGATGTCCAACTCAGTGGTTGGGGTGGGTGGTTGGGGTGGCTGTCCAACTCAGTGGTTGGGGTGGGTGGTTGGGGTGGGTGGTTGGGGTGGGTGGTTGGGGTGGGTGGTTGGGGTGGGTGTCCAACTGAGTGGTTGGGGTGGGTGTCCAACTGAGTGGTTGGGGTGGGTGGTTGGGGTGGATGTCCAACTCAGTGGTTGGGGTGGGTGGTTGGGGTGGCTGTCCAACTCAGTGGTTGGGGTGGGTGGTTGGGGTGGCTGTCCAACTCAGTGGTTGGGGTGGGTGGTTGGGGTGGGTGGTTGGGGTGGGTGGTTGGGGTGGCTGTCCATCTCAGTGGTTGGGGTGGGTGGTTGGGGTGGCTGTCCAACTCAGTGGTTCGGGTAGGTGGTTGGGGTGGCTGTCCAACTCAGTGGTTGGGGTGGGTGGTTGGGGTGGCTGTCCAACTCAGTGGTTGGGGTGGATGTCCAACTCAGTGGTTGGGGTGGGTGGTTGGGGTGGCTGTCCATCTCAGTGGTTGGGGTGGATGTCCAACTCAGTGGTTGGGGTGGGTGGTTGGGGTGGCTGTCCAACTCAGTGGTTGGGGTGGGTGGTTGGGGTGGCTGTCCAACTCAGTGGTTGGGGTGGGTGGTTGGGGTGGCTGTCCAACTCAGTGGTTGGGGTGGGTGGTTGGGGTGGCTGTCCATCTCAGTGGTTGGGGTGGGTGGTTGGGGTGGCTGTCCAACTCAGTGGTTCGGGTAGGTGGTTGGGGTGGCTGTCCAACTCAGTGGTTGGGGTGGGTGGTTGGGGTGGCTGTCCAACTCAGTGGTTGGGGTGGATGTCCAACTCAGTGGTTGGGGTGGGTGGTTGGGGTGGCTGTCCATCTCAGTGGTTGGGGTGGATGTCCAACTCAGTGGTTGGGGTGGGTGGTTGGGGTGGCTGTCCAACTCAGTGGTTGGGGTGGGTGGTTGGGGTGGCTGTCCAACTCAGTGGTTGGGGTGGGTGTCCAACTCAGTGGTTGGTGTGGGTGGTTGGGGTGGCTGTCCAACTCAGTGGTTGGGGTGGGTGGTTGGGGTGGCTGTGCAACTCAGTGGTTGGGGTGGGTGTCCAACTCAGTGGTTGGGGTGGGTGGTTGGGGTGGGTGGTTGGGGTGGCTGTCCAGCTCAGTGGTTGGGGTGGGTGGTTGGGGTGGGTGGTTGGGGTGGCTGTCCAGCTCTGTGGTTGGGGTGGGTGGTTGGGGTGGGTGGTTGGTTGGGGTGGGTGGTTGGGGTGGCTGTCCAACTCAGTGGTTGGGGTGGTTGGTTGGGGTGGGTGGTTGGGGTGGCTGTCCAACTCAGTGGGGGGGGTGGGTGGTTCGGGTAGGTGGTTGGGGTGGCTGTCGAACTCAGTGGTTGGGGTGGCTGTCCAACTCTGTGGTTGGGGTGGGTGGTTTGGTGGGGTGGGTGGTTGGGGTGGGTGGTTGGGGTGGCTGTCCAGCTCAGTGGTTGGGGTGGGTGGTTGGGGTGGCTGTCCAGCTCAGTGGTTGGGGTGGGTGGTTGGGGTGGCTGTCCAACTCTGTGGTTGGGGTGGGTGGTTGGGGTGGCTGTCCAACTCTGTGGTTGGGGTGGGTGGTTGGGGTGGGTGTCCAACTCAGTGGTTGAAGTGGGTGGTTCGGGTAGGTGGTTGGGGTGGCTGTCCAACTCAGTGGTTGGGGTGGCTGTCCAACTCAGTGGTTGAAGTGGGTGGTTCGGGTAGGTGGTTGGGGTGGCTGTCCAACTCAGTGGTTGGGGTGGGTGGTTGGGGTGGCTGTCCAACTCAGTGGTTGGGGTGGGTGGTTGGGGTGGCTGTCCAACTCAGTGGTTGGGGTGGGTGGTTGGGGTGGCTGTCCAACTCAGTGGTTGGGGTGGGTGGTTGGGGTGGCTGTCCAACTCTGTGGTTTTCAACCTATCAATCCTCTGAGGTGGAGGCTCTCCAAAAAAGTTATGAACCACTGGTTTCACTCTTAGATAACATACTATCCATAGTGAGAAAGGGGCAAGAACCACTAATCTCACTGTTAGATAACAAACTATCCATAGTGAGAAAGTGGCAAGAACCACTAATCTCACTGTTAGATAACATACTATCCATAGTGAGAAAGAGCCTAGCTTGTTGGCTACGTAAGAACTATGAGGTTCATTCCTGTGAATGTGTGTGTGTGTGGGGGGGGGGGGGGGGGGAAAGGGTATGTTTCCATACATAGATTGGGGGAGGGGGACTTCAAGTTGAAATTCCTGCAAATTATGATGTGATTTTTGTTTTCTAACGTACCCCACAAGACCCCTTAAGAAAATTATGATGAGAATTTTGTCTTCTAACTTACCCCACAAGAACCCTTAAGAAAATTATGATGAGAATTTTGTCTTCTAACTTACCCCACAAGAACCCCTAAGAAAATTATGATGAGAATTTTGTCTTCTAACTTACCCCACAAGAACTCCTAAGAAAATTATGATGAGAATTTTGTCTTCTAACTTACCCCACAAGAACCCTTGAGAATGAAAGGGTCGTTTGGGTAATCATAGCCTTCGCATGATACTTCAACATGTCCAAAACGATAGGCGTTGTCCATATCTGATTTACATTCCCACTGGAAGAATACAAGGCAATAATGGAACTGATATCCACATATATGGTGTCAGATAATGGAGCTGATATCCATATATATGGTGTCAGATAATGGAACTGATATCCACAAATATGGTGTCAGATAATGGAACTGATATCCACATATATGGTGTCAGATAATGGAACTGATATCCATATATATGGTGTCAGATAATGGAACTGATATCCACATATATGGTGTCAGATAATGGAAGTGATATCCACATATATGGTGTCAGATAATGGAACTGATATCCATATATATGGTGTCAGATAGTGAATATCATAGGCATTTACAAAATGTATAAAATCTATACAGTAATTAAAATGTAGAAGAAATAAACCTGAATATCATAGGCATGTACAAAATGTATAAAATGTATGGAGTAATTAAAATGGAGAAGAAATAAACCTGAATATCATAGGCATGTACAAAATGTATAAAATGTATGGAGTAATTAAAATGGAGAAGAAATAAACCTGAATATCATAGGCATGTACAAAATGTATAAAATGTATGGAGTAATTAAAATGGAGAAGAAATAAACCTGAATATCATAGCCATCCGAGCCTCTGTTGGTGCACTGGACAACTTTAGGGGTGAACTTGTACTGGGCTGATCCACCAACACACTTCAGCTGAGGGATAGACAACACAGTGTGACATCAGATAGACAACACAGTGTGACATCAGATAGACAACACAGTGTGACATCAGATAGACAACACAGTGTGACATCAGATAGACAACACAGTGTGACATCAGATAGACAGACAACAGTGTGACATCAGATAGACAACACAGTGTGACATCAGATAGACAACACAGTGTGACATCAGATAGACAACACAGTGTGACATCAGATAGACAGACAACAGTGTGACATCAGATAGACAACACAGTGTGACATCAGATAGACAACACAGTGTGGCATCAGATAGACAACACAGTGTGACATCAGACAGACAACAGTGTGACATCAGATAGACAGACAACAGTGTGACATCAGATAGACAACACAGTGTGACATCAGATAGACAACACAGTGTGACATCAGATAGACAACAGTGTGACATCAGATAGACAGACAACAGTGTGACATCAGATAGACAACACAGTGTGACATCAGATAGACAACACAGTGTGACATCAGATAGACAGACAACAGTGTGACATCAGATAGACAACACAGTGTGACATCAGATAGACAACACAGTGTGACATCAGACAGACAACAGTGTGACATCAGATAGACAACACAGTGTGACATCAGATAGACAACACAGTGTGACATCAGACAGACAACAGTGTGACATCAGATAGACAGACAACAGTGTGACATCAGATAGACAACACAGTGTGACATCAGACAGACAACACAGTGTGACATCAGATAGACAACAGTGTGACATCAGATAGACAACACAGTGTGACATCAGATAGACAACACAGTGTGACATCAGATAGACAACACTGTGTGACATCAGATAGACAGACAACAGTGTGACATCAGATAGACAACACAGTGTGACATCAGATAGACAGACAACAGTGTGACATTAGATAGACAGACAACAGTGTGACATCAGATAGACAACACAGTGTGACATCAGATAGACAGACAACAGTGTGACATCAGATAGACAACACAGTGTGACATCAGATAGACAGACAACAGTGTGACATCAGATAGACAACACAGTGTGACATCAGATAGACAGACAACAGTGTGACATTAGATAGACAGACAACAGTGTGACATCAGATAGACAACACAGTGTGACATCAGATAGACAACAGTGTGACATCAGATAGACAACACAGTGTGACATCAGATAGACAACACAGTGTGACATCAGATAGACAACAGTGTGACATCAGACACACAACAGTGTGACATCAGATAGACAACACAGTGTGACATCAGATAGACAGACAACAGTGTGACATCAGATAGACAACACAGTGTGACATCAGATAGACAGACAACAGTGTGACATCAGACAGACAACAGTGTGACATCAGATAGACAGACAACAGTGTGACATCAGATAGACAACAGTGTGACATCAGACACACAACACAGTGTGACATCAGACACACAACAGTGTGACATCAGATAGACAACACAGTGTGACATCAGACAGACAACACAGTGTGACATCAGATAGACAGACAACAGTGTGACATCAGATAGACAACAGTGTGACATCAGATAGACAACACAGTGTGACATCAGATAGACAACACAGTGTGACATCAGACAGACAACACAGTGTGACATCAGATAGACAACACAGTGTGACATCAGATAGACAACAGTGTGACATCAGATAGACAACACAGTGTGACATCAGATAGACAACACAATGTGACATCAGATAGACAACACAGTGTGACATCAGATAGACAACACAGTGTGACATCAGATAGACACACAATGTGACATCAGATAGACAACACAGTGTGACATCAGATAGACAACAGTGTGACATCAGACAGACAACACAGTGTGACATCAGATAGACAACACAGTGTGACATCAGATAGACAACAGTGTGACATCAGATAGACAACACAGTGTGACATCAGATAGACAACACAATGTGACATCAGATAGACAACACAGTGTGACATCAGATAGACAACAGTGTGACATCAGATAGACAACACAGTGTGACATCAGATAGACAAGTGTGACATCAGATAGACAACAGTGTGACATCAGACAGACAACAGTGTGACATCAGATAGACAACACAGTGTGACATCAGATAGACAACACAGTGTGACATCAGATAGACAACAGTGTGACATCAGATAGACAACACAGTGTGACATCAGATAGACAGACAACAGTGTGACATCAGATAGACAACAGTGTGACATCAGATAGACAACACAGTGTGACATCAGACAGACAACAGTGTGACATCAGATAGACAACACAGTGTGACATCAGATAGACAACACAGTGTGACATCAGATAGACAACACAGTGTGACATCGGATAGACAACACAGTGTGACATCAGATAGACAACACAGTGTGACATCAGATAGACAACACAGTGTGACATCAGATAGACAACACAGTGTGACATCAGACAGACAACACAGTGTGACATCAGATAGACAACACAGTGTGACATCAGATAGACAACACAGTGTGACATCAGATAGACAACACAGTGTGACATCAGACAGACAACACAGTGTGACATCAGACAGACAACACAGTGTGACATCAGATAGACAACACAGTGTGACATCAGATAGACAACACAGTGTGACATCAGATAGACAACACAGTGTGACATCAGACAGACAACACAGTGTGACATCAGATAGACAACAGTGTGACATCAGACAGACAACACAGTGTGACATCAGTCAGACAACAGTGTGACATCAGATAGACAACACAGTGTGACATCAGATAGACAACACAGTGTGACATCAGATAGACAACACAGTGTGACATCGGATAGACAACACAGTGTGACATCAGACAGACAACACAGTGTGACATCAGATAGACAACACAGTGTGACATCAGATAGACAACACAGTGTGACATCAGACAGACAACAGTGTGACATCAGATAGACAACACAGTGTGACATCAGACACACAACAGTGTGACATCAGATAGACAACACAGTGTGACATCAGATAGACAGACAACAGTGTGACATCAGATAGACAACACAGTGTGACATCAGACAGACAACAGTGTGACATCAGACAGACAACACAGTGTGACATCAGATAGACAACACAGTGTGACATCAGATAGACAACACAGTGTGACATCAGATAGACAACACAGTGTGACATCAGATAGACAACACAGTGTGACATCAGATAGACAACACAGTGTGACATCAGATAGACAACACAGTGTGACATCAGATAGACAACACAGTGTGACATCAGATAGACAACACAGTGTGACATCAGACAGACAACACAGTGTGACATCAGACAGACAACACAGTGTGACATCAGTCAGACAACAGTGTGACATCAGATAGACAACACAGTGTGACATCAGACAGACAACACAGTGTGACATCAGATAGACAACACAGTGTGACATCAGACAGACAACAGTGTGACATCAGATAGACAGACAACAGTGTGACATCAGACAGACAACACAGTGTGACACCAGACAGACAACAGTGTGACATCAGATAGACAACACAGTGTGACATCAGACAGACAACAGTGTGACATCAGATAGACAGACAACAGTGTGACATCAGATAGACAGACAACAGTGTGACATCAGATAGACAACACAGTGTGACATCAGATAGACAACACAGTGTGACATCAGACAGACAACAGTGTGACATCAGACAGACAACACAGTGTGACATCAGATAGACAACACAGTGTGACATCAGATAGACAACAGTGTGACATCAGATAGACAACACAGTGTGACATCAGATAGACAACACAGTGTGACATCAGATAGACAACAGTGTGACATCAGATAGACAACACAGTGTGACATCAGATAGACAACACAGTGTGACATAAGATAGACAACACAGTGTGACATCAGACAGACAACATAGTGTGACATCAGATAGACAGACAACAGTGTGACATCAGATAGACAACACAGTGTGACATCAGACAGACAACACAGTGTGACATCAGATAGACAGACAACAGTGTGACATCAGATAGACAACAGTGTGACATCAGATAGACAACACAGTGTGACATCAGATAGACAACACAGTGTGATATCAGACAGACAACAGTGTGACATCAGATAGACAGACAACAGTGTGACATCAGATAGACAGACAACAGTGTGACATCAGATAGACAACAGTGTGACATCAGATAGACAACACAGTGTGACATCAGATAGACAACACAGTGTGATATCAGACAGACAACAGTGGGACATCAGATAGACAGACAACAGTGTGACATCAGATAGACAGACAACAGTGTGACATCAGATAGACAACACAGTGTGACATCAGATAGACAACACAGTGTGACATCAAACAGACAAAAAAGAGTGTAAGAAGTGCATTTACCCTATACCCATTTAAGGAAGCTACTATTTGTCTATACCATCAACCCTGTACTTGTGTGTTGTTTGTGCAGTGTTTATGAGGCCCATGTTCAGTTGGTACCTTCGGGGTCAGAGTTTAAAGAAGTGTGTACATTTCCCAATTGATGCTTGGAAGGTGAGGTAGCTCAATGGTAGGTTCGGATCCCGCTTGGTTAAAACTTGGAATATATTCTGTATCTATGTCTACTTTCTGTTTATATTTTAAATTCAATTAATATTCCCTTGTAAAAAATACTTATTGTCTGCAGTCCTATTTTTAGCACTTGGATATGCTCACAATTTTCATCAACACCAGGTAACCTGATCTAGTCATTGCTACTTCATAGAATCTTCCCTTTTCTATTGAATGGAACTATTTATATCATTTTGCTACTTCATAGAATCTTCCCTTTTCTATTGAATGGAACTATTTATATCATTTTGCTACTTCATAGAATCTTCCCTTTTCTATTGAATGGAACTATTTATATCATTTTGCTACTTCATAGAATCTTCCCTTTTCTATTGAATGGAACTATTTATATCATTTTGCTACTTCATAGAATCTTCCCTTTTCTATTGAATGGAACTATTTATATCATTTTGCTACTTCATAGAATCTTCCCTTTTCTATTGAATGGAACTATTTATATCATTTTGCTACTTCATAGAATCTTCCCTTTTCTATTGAATGGAACTATTTATATTATTTTCAAATGAAAAGAAAGTTGAAATGAAATCAGTGCATTATTTAAAACTGAGTAAAATTTTAACTTGGCCCTGGAACCCACCCAAAGAATGACTGTTCTGGAACCCACTCAAAGAATGACTGTTCTGGAACCCACTCAAAGAATGACAGTTCTGGAACCCACTCAAAGAATGACTGTTCTGGAACCCACTCAAAGAATGACTGTTCTGGAACCCACTCAAAGAATGACTGTTCTGGAACCCACTCAAAGAATGACTGTTCTGGAACCCACTCAAAGAATGACTGTTCTGGAACCCACTCAAAGAATGACTGTTCTGGAACCCACTCAAAGAATGAATGTTCTGGAACCCACTCAAAGAATGACTGTTCTGGAACCCACTCAAAGAATGACTGTTCTGGAACCCACTCAAAGAATGACTGTTCTGGAACCCACTCAAAGAATGACTGTTCTGGAACCCACTCAAAGAATGACTGTTCTGGAACCCACTCAAAGAATGACTGTTCTGGAACCCACCCAAAGAATGACTGTTCTGGAACCCACCCAAAGAATGACTGTTCTGGAACCCACCCAAAGAATGACTGTTCTGGAACCCACCCAAAGAATGACTGTTCTAGAACCCACTCAAAGAATGACTGTTCTGGAACCCACCCAAAGAATGACTGTTCTGGAACCCACCCAAAGAATGACTGTTCTGGAACCCACTCAAAGAATGACTGTTCTGGAACCCACTCAAAGAATGACTGTTCTGGAACCCACTCAAAGAATGACTGTTCTGGAACCCACTCAAAGAATGACTGTTCTGGAACCCACCCAAAGAATGACTGTTCTGGAACCCACTCAAAGAATGACTGTTCTGGAACCCACTCAAAGAATGACTGTTCTGGAACCCACTCAAAGAATGACTGTTCTGGAACCCACTCAAAGAATGACTGTTCTGGAACCCACTCAAAGAATGACTGTTCTGGAACCCACTCAAAGAATGACTGTTCTGGAACCCACTCAAAGAATGACTGTTCTGGAACCCACCCAAAGAATGACTGTTCTGGAACCCACTCAAAGAATGACTGTTCTGGAACCCACCCAAAGAATGACTGTTCTGGAACCCACCCAAAGAATGACTGTTCTGGAACCCACCCAAACCCAAAGAATGACTGTTCTGGAACCCACCCAAACCCAAAGAATGACTGTTCTGGAACCCACTCAAAGAATGACTGTTCTGGAACCCACTCAAAGAATGACTGTTCTGGAACCCACCCAAAGAATGACTGTTCTGGAACCCACCCAAAGAATGACTGTTCTGGAACCCACTCAAAGAATGACTGTTCTGGAACCCACTCAAAGAATGACTGTTCTGGAACCCACTCAAAGAATGACTGTTCTGGAACCCACTCAAAGAATGACTGTTCTGGAACCCACTCAAAGAATGACTGTTCTGGAACCCACTCAAAGAATGACTGTTCTGGAACCCACTCAAAGAATGAATGTTCTGGAACCCACTCAAAGAATGACTGTTCTGGAACCCACTCAAAGAATGACTGTTCTGGAACCCACTCAAAGAATGACTGTTCTGGAACCCACTCAAAGAATGACTGTTCTGGAACCCACTCAAAGAATGACTGTTCTGGAACCCACTCAAAGAATGACTGTTCTGGAACCCACCCAAAGAATGACTGTTCTGGAACCCACCCAAAGAATGACTGTTCTGGAACCCACCCAAAGAATGACTGTTCTGGAACCCACCCAAAGAATGACTGTTCTAGAACCCACTCAAAGAATGACTGTTCTGGAACCCACCCAAAGAATGACTGTTCTGGAACCCACTCAAAGAATGACTGTTCTGGAACCCACTCAAAGAATGACTGTTCTGGAACCCACTCAAAGAATGACTGTTCTGGAATCCACTCAAAGAATGACTGTTCTGGAACCCACTCAAAGAATGACTGTTCTGGAACCCACTCAAAGAATGACTGTTCTGGAACCCACTCAAAGAATGACTGTTCTGGAACCCACTCAAAGAATGACTGTTCTGGAACCCACTCAAAGAATGACTGTTCTGGAACCCACCCAAAGAATGACTGTTCTGGAACCCACCCAAAGAATGACTGTTCTGGAACCCACTCAAAGAATGACTGTTCTGGAACCCACTCAAAGAATGACTGTTCTGGAACCCACTCAAAGAATGACTGTTCTGGAACCCACTCAAAGAATGACTGTTCTGGAACCCACTCAAAGAATGACTGTTCTGGAACCCACTCAAAGAATGACTGTTCTGGAACCCACTCAAAGAATGAATGTTCTGGAACCCACTCAAAGAATGACTGTTCTGGAACCCACTCAAAGAATGACTGTTCTGGAACCCACTCAAAGAATGACTGTTCTGGAACCCACTCAAAGAATGACTGTTCTGGAACCCACTCAAAGAATGACTGTTCTGGAACCCACTCAAAGAATGACTGTTCTGGAACCCACCCAAAGAATGACTGTTCTGGAACCCACCCAAAGAATGACTGTTCTGGAACCCACCCAAAGAATGACTGTTCTGGAACCCACCCAAAGAATGACTGTTCTAGAACCCACTCAAAGAATGACTGTTCTGGAACCCACCCAAAGAATGACTGTTCTGGAACCCACCCAAAGAATGACTGTTCTGGAACCCACTCAAAGAATGACTGTTCTGGAACCCACTCAAAGAATGACTGTTCTGGAACCCACTCAAAGAATGACTGTTCTGGAACCCACTCAAAGAATGACTGTTCTGGAACCCACCCAAAGAATGACTGTTCTGGAACCCACTCAAAGAATGACTGTTCTGGAACCCACTCAAAGAATGACTGTTCTGGAACCCACTCAAAGAATGACTGTTCTGGAACCCACTCAAAGAATGACTGTTCTGGAACCCACTCAAAGAATGACTGTTCTGGAACCCACTCAAAGAATGACTGTTCTGGAACCCACTCAAAGAATGACTGTTCTGGAACCCACCCAAAGAATGACTGTTCTGGAACCCACTCAAAGAATGACTGTTCTGGAACCCACCCAAAGAATGACTGTTCTGGAACCCACCCAAAGAATGACTGTTCTGGAACCCACTCAAAGAATGACTGTTCTGGAACCCACTCAAAGAATGACTGTTCTGGAACCCACTCAAAGAATGACTGTTCTGGAATCCACTCAAAGAATGACTGTTCTGGAACCCACTCAAAGAATGACTGTTCTGGAACCCACTCAAAGAATGACTGTTCTGGAACCCACTCAAAGAATGACTGTTCTGGAACCCACTCAAAGAATGACTGTTCTGGAATCCACTCAAAGAATGACTGTTCTGGAACCCACTCAAAGAATGACTGTTCTGGAACCCACTCAAAGAATGACTGTTCTGGAACCCACTCAAAGAATGACTGTTCTGGAACCCACTCAAAGAATGACTGTTCTGGAACCCACTCAAAGAATGACTATAAGTACCTGTGGAACTGGTGAAGACCTCCTGGAGTTAGTCATGCGTCCTTGATGTAATGTTAAAACTTTGACATCAGATAGGAGAATTTTTTCAGAGTGTTGGTAATCATTGACAGCAGCTAATGTAGACAAGATAAAGAGAGCTGTGCTCATGTCAAAATTCAAACAACAAATTCACATTTTAATCAATCTTAACTGACATCATGGGTAACTCAATGATGTTCACATGTACAGATAAGACCTGACTGATGTCTACAGATAAGACCTGACTGATGTCTACAGATAAGACCTGACTGATGTCTACAGATAAGACCTGACTGATGTCTACCTGTACAGATAACCTGACAGATGTCCAGATAATGTATTGTCACAGAAACCATCTACTTAACCTGCAGTGTTTTATGGAATATAAAGTACCATTTGTGTCAGATGAAATCTACTTCATCTATCCTATGTGCCAGAAACTAAATCTTAATTAAAAACCTGTATTATTGTATTTTAGCTATCAGCTCTTACCCTAAATCAATAATCATATGGTTTTAAAATAAACAAGCAACTACAACTGTATTATCCTGTCTAGAATCAAATCAAATAAAGTGAATGTAGTTGAAGTAAAAGATAAGATCTAACGCACCTGCTGTTAAAGTTAAAATGAGTGTAAACAAGAGAGACACCAAAGTTCTCTGATGACAGCCTTCAATGACGTCCACCATGGTTTCCTGTCAGGAGATACAACAAAGTATAAGCCTACATTTCTCAAGTGCTACACAACAAGGTAAAGGTATAAGCCTACATTTCTCAAGTGATACACAACAAGGTAAAGGTATAAGCCTACATTTCTCAAGTGCTACACAACAAGGTAAAGGTATAAGCCTACATTTCTCAAGTGTTACACAACAAGGTAAAGGTATAAGCCTACATTTCTCAAGTGATACACAACAAGGTAAAGGTATAAGCCTACATTTCTCAAGTGCTACACAACAAGGTAAAGGTATAAGCCTACATTTCTCAAGTGTTACACAACAAGGTAAAGGTATAAGCCTACATTTCTCAAGTGTTACACAACAAGGTAAAGGTATAAGCCTACATTTCTCAAGTGCTACACAACAAGGTAAAGGTATAAGCCTACATTTCTCAAGTGTTACACAACAAGGTAAAGGTATAAGCCTACATTTCTCAAGTGTTACACAACAAGGTAAAGGTATAAGCCTACATTTCTCAAGTGTTACACAACAAGGTAAAGGTATAAGCCTACATTTCTCAAGTGTTACACAACAAGGTAAAGGTATAAGCCTACATTTCTCAAGTGCTACACAACAAGGTAAAGGTATAAGCCTACATTTCTCAAGTGCTACACAACAAGGTAAAGGTATAAGCCTACATTTCTCAAGTGCTACACAACAAGGTAAAGGTATAAGCCTACATTTCTCAAGTGCTACACAACAAGGTAAAAGTATAAGCCTACATTTCTCAAGTGCTACACAACAAGGTAAAGGTATAAGCCTACATTTCTCAAGTGCTACACAACAAGGTAAAGGTATAAGCCTACATTTCTCAAGTGCTACACAACAAGGTAAAGGTATAAGCCTACATTTCTCAAGTGCTACACAACAAGGTAAAGGTATAAGCCTACATTTCTCAAGTGATACACAACAAGGTAAAGGTATAAGCCTACATTTCTCAAGTGCTACACAACAAGGTAAAGGTATAAGCCTACATTTCTCAAGTGTTACACAACAAGGTAAAGGTATAAGCCTACATTTCTCAAGTGATACACAACAAGGTAAAGGTATAAGCCTACATTTCTCAAGTGCTACACAACAAGGTAAAGGTATAAGCCTACATTTCTCAAGTGCTACACAACAAGGTAAAGGTATAAGCCTACATTTCTCAAGTGATACACAACAAGGTAAAGGTATAAGCCTACATTTCTCAAGTGCTACACAACAAGGTAAAGGTATAAGCCTACATTTCTCAAGTGCTACACAACAAGGTAAAGGTATAAGCCTACATTTCTCAAGTGCTACACAACAAGGTAAAGGTATAAGCCTACATTTCTCAAGTGTTACACAACAAGGTAAAGGTATAAGCCTACATTTCTCAAGTGCTACACAACAAGGTAAAGGTATAAGCCTACATTTCTCAAGTGCTACACAACAAGGTAAAGGTATAAGCCTACATTTCTCAAGTGCTACACAACAAGGTAAAGGTATAAGCCTACATTTCTCAAGTGCTACACAACAAGGTAAAGGTATAAGCCTACATTTCTCAAGTGCTACACAACAAGGTAAAAGTATAAGCCTACATTTCTCAAGTGCTACACAACAAGGTAAAGGTATAAGCCTACATTTCTCAAGTGTTACACAACAAGGTAAAGGTATAAGCCTACACATTTCTCAAATCCCACATACGATGTAACAGTATTGGGTATGAGCCTACATTTCTCAAGTGCTACATTCCCAGCTATGGTAAGGGCATGTCTTAAATGTTACATAAGAATAAGGTAAGGGTTGGCCAAAATCCTGCATCTCTTACTTAAACACTGCAAAAGCAGTTTGAAGCCACAGCAAGCCATGAATGTGGTTAGACTTTTAACTGGCTATGCACGAGAGATCCTTATTAGGGATCAACCAAATAGCTGCCAGATGGTTTTTAAAATAAATATAAATTTGGTTTGTCATTTTAATGCGGTCTTATAAAAAAAGCTGCATTATATTTGATTTCTTTTTTATACACTGATAAACCTAATAATGCTTCACCTTCTCGTACCTACTCTATTGATATTTAAAAGTTCTATTAGTTTTAAAGAAACCAACTTTTAAATTTAGTCTTCATTCTCTAGAGCAAATTTTAAAATGATTTTCTGGCATATAATAGCCCTGCCACCTATAGTTTGTTTTTATAAAATGAAAAACCCTCCTTTTTGCTCCTCGTGAATATTTTAAAAAGTAATTATATGTAGGTCACTGGAATTGAGACGAAAAATCCTCGGAAGTAAAGTGTCCGGTATGGACGCTATTTCAGTGTTAGCAACAGGTTTGCTAATTAAAATCTACGGTAAAGTGTCCGGTATGGACGCTATTTCAGTGTTAGCAACAGGTTTGCTAATTAAAATCTACTATAAAATTTAAGGTAATCTCACGATATCCCTATAGCGTTAGAAATTATGCTGTAATGTTTGTTGAGTTTTGCAAACATTTGTTACTGTAAACCATATTTTATTTGACTGTTAAAATATAAAAAAAGTCATGTGCATAAAATTAGGCCTAGGCCTAATGTTTTAACTTACTAAGTGACTACTTGGAAAAAGATTGTTCAGCAGAAAATACGAAACTCAACAGTTCTGCATATGCACCGTGACCTTAATAGCTGCGCTAGGGTTAGGGCTAGGGTTCTGTATGCGCAGTACATCGAAAACATTACAGCGAATGAAGGCGGTAGTTTCTCTCCATTGCGTATGTCGTGTATCTAACCCTAACCCTAGTAGATCTAGATCTAAAATCTAAATATTAGGCCTAATAATTAAGTCGAGTGTAGGCCTAGTAATTAAATGTTTTTTTAAGAAACAAAAAAACTTGAAGATTTGGTGGAACAGCCAGATATCTAGGCCTACTAGATCTAAAGTAAGATAGGCTTTAGAAATTTTTAGATAGGAATAGGCTTAGTGCTTTAGTAGTTAGATCTAGTAGGCATAGCCTATTCCTAGATCTAGTAGAGTATATTATAGTATACTAAAGTATAGGCCTATAGATCTGTATATAGTAACTATACTATATCTAAAAACTCTAAGTGACTAAGTCTAATGTCTAACCCTAATCCTTAGTAACTAAGGTGTGGTAATTAATTAGCCTACAAATGAGTAATTAATTACCTACCTTTGTGAAGTCCTTATATTTATTAGTTTATGCTGCGCTGGGCAGATGGTAAAGATTTTCTAGATCTAGGGTCTAGATCTACCTTTTTGACTTTGTTTGTTAATTTAGAACAAGTGTACAAAATTACAGCGTTAAGTATTACTGTGTATGCAAACTTAACGTGTAAAGTCACAGAAAAAAGTGTAAACAATCAAAAACAAATGAAGAATGAATCGTCTTTAAATACCAGATCTATTAGCTAAATCTAGATCTAGAATCTAGATCTAGATTAGATCCTATAACTGTCCACTTATTAGTTAGGTTTTTAAAAAGTAAAACAGACCGATTTAGTTATACTATCTAGCCGACTGTTAGTGTGAGATGTAGATTTCTAGATCTAGATCTTTACACTGTAACAGTATCTGCGTTATCGCCGTTTTTTAGACTACTTCTAGACTGTTGCTGTAAAGCCTAGGCTAACGGAAACCTATGCAGAGGAAGTTCTACTCAGCATTCCCTCGACCAATCACATTTCGACAAATAATCCAGAATAAGATATTACGTTATGGCAAATCTAACCCGGAAGTGAATGACTTCTAAATATAGATAAACCTGTCAATAAGGTCTAGGATGACTAAAATAAAGCCACTATCTATCTATCTATATGTTACGGTCAAAGCCCGAAGTGCAGCCAAACCCCGGATTGGCCGGCCAATGCGCGGATTGGCCGGCTCTCTTGGCCAAAGCCCGAAGAACTTAGAACTAAGATCGTATTTCGTACATTGGCCGGCCAATGCGCGCACTGGCCGGGACGTACTGGCCAAAGTCCGAAGTACTTAAACCTGACAGCGTATTTTGTACATTGGCCGGCCAATGCGCGCATTGGCCGGGATGTCCTGGCCAATGTTGTATCTAGACTAAGTTGTGATCGCGGTTTTAATTATTCTGGGTGCGGTTTCATTGTGAGTAACGTATTGTTTAGCTCTTGTTTGTATAGCATTCTATATGCAAGGCGACATGGATCAAAAGGGCCGCCAGACCATGAGACAGACATAGCAGATGGCTGTCATAAGAAAAAAATGCAAATATCGAACCAACGTTTGACATGAAAACTATGTTTTTAGATCATTTTACTACAGTACTGCATGAAAAACCAAACAATAGCTTTATTCTCAGCAAAGACAAATACATTGCTATTATAGAGGACGTTAAACAGGCTAAAGCAAAGCAGACAAAAAAAACTGTTGACTATCGTCGACTAAACAAATATGATGTTATTGAAGTTGACGGTAAAGAAAAACGTATTGTACCTCTGACAGAAGACAATGGTGCTATTTTGTACTATGTGCACTCAGAAGAGTTGTTCGACTTGATCAATGAAACTCACTTGAAAATCGGACATGGAGGTCGCACAAGGATGGAAAAAGAGCTCAAGAGAAAGTACAAAAATATCACCAAAGAAATCATCACTATGTATCTTCGGTTGTGCAAGCCTTGTCAGACAAAATTGTCTAATCCCAAGAAAGGTCTTGTTTCCAAACCTTTGATATTTAAAGAATTTAACTCAAGATGCCAAGTAGATCTTATTGATATGCAAAGTAACCCAGACGGCAAATAGAAGTTTATACTTAGTTACCAGGATCATTTAACCAAGTTCATATTGTTGCGAGCTTTGGAAACCAAACGACCAGAAGAAGTTGCTTACCAGCTGCTGGATATCTTCACGACTATTGGTGCCCCAAGTGTGCTTCAATCAGATAATGGAAGAGAATTTGTGAATCAAGTTATTTCTGAACTAAAGAACATGTGGCCTGAACTTAAACTAGTTCACGGAAAACCAAGGCATAGCCAAAGCCAAGGTTCAGTCGAACGTGCCAACCAAGATGTTCTAAACATGATGATGACATGGATGCAAACAAATGAATCAGCTCATTGGGCTGAGAGTCTCAAATTCATTCAATTTATGAAAAATCGTTCTTTTCATCAAGGAATCCAACAATCACCATACGAAGCCTTGTTTGGATGCAAAGCAAAAGTGGGACTTAGCACTTCAAATCTACCAAGAGAGGCTCTCAATAAAATAGTTACTGAGGAAGATCTTGAGAACATTGAACAAGAAATGGAGGTTGCCATAAATGCAACTACATCCTCAGCTAACACATCTACTGCCGTGGCGGAACGTCCAGACCAGTTGCGTGACAATAATGTGGCCAACAGATTCTGTATAGTTTGTGAAAAACATTGTAGTGCAGCTCAATCTTGTGGATCCTGTGGCAAAGATGTCCATGCTATTTGTGGAGTACCCAATGAAGCAGACGAAGGGTACGGAGGGAACATTACCTGCAGATTGTGTCACAACAAACAAGACATCAGGGAAGACAGGTCAGCAGCTCATACTGGCTTGCAAAATCAAGGTGCTAAGATGCCTAAAACATCAAATACAAAATTTAAAGATGGTGAAGTGGGTGACAATGTACGCATCCGTGTTCCAGATGTTGACACTGAGAAAAAATCACTACGAACCATCGTATCTTCACAATCATTGACTGGGGGCCAAGGCTACACTCGCTGCAATTGCACAACCAAGTGCACAACAAATCGCTGCAAGTGTAAAAATAACAAGCTGCTATGTAATTCTAAATGCCATAAAAGTTCAAATTGTTGTAACAAATGATAATATTGATTGATTGAGACTATAGTACAATAAAAAATTTGAATGTTTCTGTCATTTACTTTAATTAATAATCAATAAAGACTTAATTTCATGATCCTACCGGCATAAAAAAAACAAAAAATCTGCTCATGATCTTCTAATTAAGACTTTGGCCGGTCCACAATGGCCAGTCTGCGGATTGGCCGGCCAAAGGCCGAAATGAAGCAAAGTTTCGGACTTTGACCGACCTATGGGAGGCGATATTGGCCAATGCGCGGATTGGCCGGCCAATCCTAGCATTGGCCGACTTCGGGCTTTGACCGTAACATATATAATTCTCTTCTGGGAGCCGTTAGAAACAAGCTGCAAGCGCCTCCTTGCAGTCCCCTCTCTTTCTCTCTATCACTATCACTACCACCCTCACCCCACCCCCACATTGTCTGGTAAGCTGTGGTCACGCTGTTTACATTTTACAATCATAGAGACGGGTTTGGTGACGGCTATTAGGGACAGATAATTTAGTTTGAAACGATTTTAAACTTAGAGGAGGTAACTAAGAGGAGGCTGCTTTCACGTGGGGGGGGGGGGGAGGGGGGGGGTAGTTAGTGTTTTTAAACAAATATTTTCAGTGGCAGCATTGGTACAGTCGAATTCACAAATTATAAATTACTGAAAAGTAAAAAAAAACAACAACCAAATAGCGGCGTATGATACGCAGCGGGTCGGCTCGTTAAAATTATTTGACACAACTACGAGCTTTTTACATTTAATTTTACAAGCTTTTATTTAGTTCGCAACGCCTGTTTGTGGCAAATCTTGTAACTCAATTTTGACCCACTTCTAATGCAGCGATTGCGTTCAAACTTCCAGAAACGTTCCACTTCGATGGCAATTCGAGTCTATCTACTTTTAAATTTAATTACTTAGGCCTAATTACAATTAGTTTAACTCTTTTGACACTAAGGGAGATAACAAAACAAAACCACTCGATCTAACACAAAAAGTTCAATTTTATAGTTTGGAGACACCTGTTCTAGATGTAAATGGCATTATTATTTATACCTTGTAAGCTTTCAAGCGGTCGTCCATAAAAGACGTCACATTCGTAGGGGGAGGGGGGAGGTCAGTAATTTTGTGACGGTGTGTGATAGGGGGGAGGGGGGGAACTCAGGAAAAGAAACATTTTATTGATCAAAAGCATTAGAATGTAACATTCTTAAGAATATGAAAAAAAGGGGGTTTTGTTTTATGTACTGTCTATGTTTATACTTGTTTAAAATAACATAGACTACAAATACCTATTAGAAAAATTAAAACCAAATTCTATACAGGAGTCAACAAAGTACCATATTAAATGCACTCGCTGATTAGGAGATTTAAAATTATGAGACTTAAAAGATTTAGTTAAAAACCCGGCTGTTCAAAGGTAGAATTGTTTTTGTTTTATCACACAATCCCTTCAGAAACAGGTGAACTCTACTTTACTTGCCTCACCCCAAGTCCCGAGAGGTAAATTTATCATTCACATATAAAGAGAAAACCAATTGAAAATTTCCATTATAGTTTTTATGGAGAATAAAAGAGGTACTTAAGAAACTTAACTTACGCGAATAGGTCCTGTGTTTTCAAATTAAATTTTATCCCAAATTAGCTAATTGCATAGCGAACTTTAAAGCAACAGCGCCAATAGAGACCTCCCCCCCCCCCGTGAAAGCAGCCTCCTCTTAGTTACCTAAGTTTAAAATCGTTTCAAAATAAATTATCTGCCCCTAATAGGCGTCACTAAACCCGGCTCTACAAATTGTAAACATTTAGCATGAACCACAGCTCACCAGACCATGTGGGGGTGGCAGTAGCGTAGCGAGGGGGGGGGGGGGGGGCGGGGGGATATATGTCCCCGGGCGCCAACCTGAGGGGGGTGCCAAAATGGGTTGGAAAAATAAATTGAAAGGTTGAGATCTTGAGGGGGGGGGGGTGCAAATCGAAAGTTTGGAGGGGGGGGGGGGGTGCAAATCGGAATCTTGAGGGGGGTGCAAATCGAAAAGTTTGTTCCGGGCGCCGGGAAGGGTTGCTACGCCTCTGGGAGGGGGTGGGGTGTTGCGATATGCCTAGAGAGGAAGAGAGGGGACTGCTAGGCGCGCTTACAGCTTGGTGTTTTCTAACGTCTCCAAGAAGATAATTATATATAGATACGTATTTTATCAAATGTGTAACTCTGTATCAGCTTTTCAGTGATTCCCAGAGACCGGAAGTTGAACTTATTCTACTTTTGGTTTTTCAAAAGCATATAACTTGAGTACTGGTTTACATAGATTCCGCACTATCATACACATATTGTTTGTCTTTCACTTGGTGCGCATCATCTGGCACCCGGCGGTCGTGTGACCATCAGCACCCTGGATTTCCCCATGAGCGCTATGACCCATATATTTATTTTAATGAGCGCCATACACTAGCAGTGGCGGAACTAGAAAAAAAAAGGCCCCCCCCCGCAGAATTTTTTTTTGGGCCCCTATATATATATATATATATATATATATATATATATATATATATATATATATATATATATATGGCCCCATTCAGTTTTCGAAGTGAGAAACACCGACTCTCTAAATCTAGCCCAACACACTAAACTGACGATGATTTTTAAGAGGTTTTTATCAAAACGTTACCAACCGTGTATTTTTAGACGTGTGCCCTGTTTACCAGAAGTTGAATTAAATATTAACAATTTCGGCAGTTCATTTCTACCAACTAGACACGCCAAGGCATGCTGTTAGTCCCGCGGCGACGGCCCAGGTGTCAGGGGAGTCACGGGGCTTTTGGGAGGTACCGGTTACATTCAGAGTTTCTTCCAGGCATCTCTTCGGGGGGGGGGGGGGGCGAAGCCCCCCGAAATTTTTTTACTGCCCCCCCCCCCCCCCCCCCCGAACGAAATGAAATTTATATACTTTATATAGAAAATATATACTTTTAACAGTGTCCGCCCCCCGAAGAAAGTCTACCGCCCCCCCCCCCCCCCGAAAATTTCAAGTGCCCCCCGGAGAAAAAAGTCTGGAAGAAACACTGGTTACATTACTGCACAGGGGATGGGCGCGACATATTGTTTCTTCCGGCAGTTTGGAAGAAACATTGGTGCAACACTTGATTAGATTTAGTCATCGAGTGTAGTAGCGAGACTTATTCCTAGTGTTGTGGGAACTTTTAAACGACTGTCTGTGGGGGCCAACCTGCTCATATGTGATGCGCTCAGGATGACACTGTCGCCGGTGATTTAAAGTAGTAACCTCATCCGCTTATGCAAGATCTAGGGGTGCTAAATCACATATTTCCGTTGGGCGTCCCCACTCCAATATGTAAACAAATGTTAGCCTATGACAGAAACCTTTGCGTGGCTGTCCTCAACAGCTTCCAAAGTTTTCATGGCGATTGGGTAAATGAGGCAGTAATGCAAAATAGACAGAAACATGTTTTTCACATGTACAACTGTATGTGGCCAGCTCACGCGTCGGATAACCTTCTGATTTAGGGGGGGGGGGGGGGGGGGGGAAATTCACAAATGACGTCACATTTTTTAACGACTAACAAAAAGCCAGACCCTCACTCACCCCCACCCAAATAACATCATTTATAAATAGTAATTGACTATTAATTATATAATAATGTTCAATTAATTCTAAACGTTCTAATTAATTTCTAAATAATTATATAAAAAATAATCTTACCTTCCCTGTTTTGTGAATTAGATGTGCCTAATACTAATAGTATGCAAATAAATCAATATCTGTTGACTAGTGCTGTCTAGTGTCTGACAAAATGTGCTAAAGTGGTGAATCGTACGTTTAGGAAGTATTTCATAAACGATACATTGATCTACTCGATACTTGCGAGGCTAAAAAAGAGGGATGGGATGGGGGTCGGCTCGGGAAAAATGTTGAAAGAGACAACAAAGCGCCTATGTA